AATATTAAGGTTATAAATTACGTAAAATAATAAACCGTATTTTTTGGATTTTTTTAAAGAATTCTCCTTTTTAAGCAACAAATTTCGAAATTGTTGATGTATATGACTCGGGTGTCTTTATTAGTAGTTGAATCGAATTTATGTTGGGTGAAGTTTCGGGGCTCGGTCTCGACTAAAATAGAAATAGAGGAGCGACGAGATTTATTCAATTTAATTAATTTAGCCAAAAGACGTTCGTTTGGAGAAAAGTGTAAATAAGTTCCAGTTAAGTCCCAGTTTATGCCTAACTGTATTTGTTACTAATTTTGCGTCTTATTACTTACATTCTGAATAGCAGACCAGCAAAATTATTGTAAACAACGTTTTTTTACATTCTAAAATAAACTGACATAAATCACACGATTAAAATTATTCAACTCAGTTCATAGTACAATTAGAAGACAAGTAACTGAAAGTGCAAAGGTTTATAAATAGCGTAGTAAAAAAGATAAATCACAAATTCGAAAACAAATCCATTTTTGTAATTAACATTTTATACAAGAATTAGAAAAATTAAACTTTGTACAGTCGCGAAGTGTAATATACAGGGTGCGCCAGAACGCGTACCCCAGAGAAAAATGGCATTTGACGTTAGATACCAGGAACATCGAAAAATGTTTAAAAAGTTCTATCTATAAAAATTTCGAAGTTATGAGAGTTTAAATTTTGCACTTTGATTCTATTTATAATTTTTCAAGTTTTCTTGCTATTAGAAGAGGAAATAAATAACTCTCTAAATGATTATAAAAAAAACACATACAAGAACATCAGTATCATTAAGTAGACATAAGAAAACGTCAAATGTCAAAAAATAAATGTCAGAATTTTTTAAACATCTTTTCCTTGTTTCTGGTATCTTATTTCACTTGAAATTTTTCTCTGGGTCGCGAGTTCTGACTCAGCCTGTATATTTGAAAAAATAAATAATAATAAGAAGTGTTAACAAAATTTTCAACAAAGAAAAGAATTATTATCCGTGGTTTTTTTTAATTTTGCATCGTCGTTTGTTTTAAACAAAATAATATTTTTTTTACAAACACCCAAACATAAATCATTCTTTCAATTAGTGTTTGCAACACTATATAAAACAGAGACAAGATACAAAATTTGACACATCTCAAAGATTCCAGGCCACTTTGATCAGAAATTAAATTAAACGCATTTTTATGATAAAAAAATATGTTTTGTGTCTATTTACTCTCCTCTGCGTCTCAATCATACGATAAAAGTAATCACAAACTGACTCACCGTTAGATAAAAATTATTACAAATTTTTACGAGCGTTTAAAACACCTATAAAACAAGTAAGTAAATCGCAATTTCCGGTGCTTCAGAAATCTAAGTAGGCGTCGAACGTAATTTTTTCAAATTTAGTTGTGTCAACACATAGTGACAGTCGCATCATTAATTTTGATAATTGCAAAATTGACCTTGAAAAAATCTCGTCCATTAAAGGTTGTCGGCCCTGAGTAAAATTTTCAAATTGATGCAACAACGCATTATTGTGAAATTTCGCTTTGCCGTGCGTAAAAATGCTGGATACTTTTATGAAAGGTGAATGCTCTGTGCGACTTTTGCAATAACAATTTCTAGTTAAAAATACACAACTACTGTTTCAACATATTGTGAACTAATATGGTTGTGCCAAAGGCGAGGCAAATACTAAGGAAAAAATTGGTTTTTGGACGAAATTAAACTCTAGAATTCCAAATTAACCTTTGACAGGTGAAAGTTTACTTGATTGTGAACTTTAACTGATCTTTGAGTTGAAATGAAATTTTCATAAAAATGCAATCTGTTCGAGTCACCCTGTATTTGTGTTTTATTTTTCACATGCAGGAAACACAGTCTGGTTGCATGTCAGTTTTCGACGTGGCGTTAATCTCGACAAGGCGTGTATTTTTAACCTGAATAACATTGCAACACATTAGGAGACTTGCATTAATAAGAAGAACAAGCTGCATTACCATTTCTGTTGGCTGCATCTGTGTATCAATTTGTATGTGTCTTTGAATGTAAAGAATTGTGTTGTATTAGAATAGTGCAAGAACAAATAAAATCAAATGAACATAATGAGTTTATTTTTTTTTGGAGAAATAGAAATAGCTTTTGTGTCTCTAAGGAAATGATTTATTATTGCCTCTCAGATACCAAATTTTTGTTGTTCGTACAATTTATAATGTTTTATCACACTTTCTATTTACATGACTTTATCTTGTGAATGAATTTCACCTTTTTGTGTCTGTAAAAGCAGGTAAATTCCTAGAATTCGCAAGTTAATCGAACAAGCAGTTTTTTAAACATGAATACGTACAATTTCCTTGAAACTGGAAACTAGAAAAAACAATAAAATAAATGTGATAGGGTAAGTCCGGGCGAGGTGGACCACATTTTGAAAAATCTTATGTAAAATTATATAATCTTTATTTCATTTCCATTCAAACCGCAAATCTTTCTTCTCAGACAATTTTAAAAGTGACAAAATAAAACATTCTTTTTTTCTGGTATATCATCTCTCCCGGCGATTTCCAACACAAATGTTGCTCAAAATTTTTGTTGAAAACGTACAAAATATTCTTAAAGCTATTGTTTTTCGACAGATCATTGGCTTAAATTAAAAAAAAAATAAAGCTAACACTATACAGGTGACCCAGGGGTGCGTGCAAGTTCCATAACTTTTTTTCTATCCAAATTATCGACATGATTTTTTTAACGATAGGTCCAACAATAAGGCACATTATAAAAATGTATTTCTATTCCCAAAATAAGGTACACAATTCAGTTGTTTTTTTTAAATGAAAACCCCGAATTTTTATTACATTTTTGTATTCGCCAACAAATTCTCAATATAACTCACCTAGGTTTCTTAGACTTATGCCAATTTATGTGTCAAAATTAAGTCACAAAAAAATCATTATTTCAAAACTATTCAAAATAACTTAACCAACTTTTTTTCCAGTCGATTCTTTAAGCCCTGACGCATTTCTGAGATAAAGGCAAACAATAAATAATAACAATAATAATAATAAAAACTATTGCACATAAGTCTAAGAAATCTAGGTGCATTATATTGACAATTTAGTGACAAATCCAAAAATGTGACAAAAATTTGGGGTTTTCATTTAAAAAAACAGAACTTAGTTGTGTATCTTATTTTGGGACACTCTCTATATGAATAGAAATATTTTTATAATGTGCCTCATTGTTGGATTTATCGTTAAAAAAAAATCAAGTCAATAACTTGGATAGAAAAAAAGTTATGGAGGTTGCACGCACCCCTGGGTCATCCTGTACATAATTCAATTTTTTTTTAAATAAGTGCACAAATGTTTAACTACATCATAAAAACAGAAAAAAACACAATTTTTTTCTTCTCCAACTCAACAAATTGTTAAAATAAAACAAACCAAAAAATAAACTTGCTATTTGCGAAAATATTTGTTTAAATATAGAACGTTTTTAAAACAATCAGAAAAAATCATGTATGACGAATTTTGATAGCTCATGATTTTTCAGTTCGAAACAAAACTGAAAATTAATAAAAATCATTGGTTACATACTGCGATTTCCGTGAGCAGTTACATAATTGAAAAACACCCAAACTCGTAAAACACTGATTTACACACACAATTGGTACAATTGAACCACGATTTATCTACAGCGTGATTCAACAATCATTCGGGTGGTTCTTAAAACCATCAAATTACTCTCAAAATTGCAAAAAAAGTTGTACCAACTTTCTTTAGGAGATAAAACTCTGCAAAAATACAACGTGCCTAAAAGTCCTGTCAAATGTGGAAAATTTAAAGTAAAGTCGGCAACAACACATGAAAAATTTGTTGGTTTCTATAGCAACAAACGTTTCAAATGCAGTGCAGGTACAGTGCAGTGGCTCAAAATGCAGCGTTGCCAATTTGTGCTATTTTTAAATATTTATATTTTCAGAATTATTGAAACTTTGAGCTTCTATTATTTTTTTCTATCACCATATAAGAGATTATGCGACTTTTTTGAATCATCGTAAATAAAAAGATTTGTTTTTTTTTATCAAAAGTTGACAATATGCGTACCAATCAAATTTATCATTTATCAAAAACAACGCTTAATAGAATTAAACCTTAATTCTGAGAAGTCTCGATTACTTTTTTTACTTTTATTGGGAATGTTTGGGAAATTCTTGAGCAAAAGCAATACGATTTTAAAAAAAGTTAAAAGAAAATAGAGAAACAGAATTTTTAATATCAAAGTTTGATATAGTTTTTCTAACAAATTCAAAATTTCTCCAATTGCAAGTGAATTATTGGAAAAATTATTAAATCTAAACATTAAATAAGAACACAATTTCCTCAAATCGTAGCTATACTAAACCAGTATTTAATTCCAAATGTGAGAAGTAGACATTGAGACGATAATAATACTTCACGAGCTTGCCTCGATCAAAGGGATGGAAAAAAGGTATAATAATAGTAATAATAATGATCGATTTCCGCTTAGTTTTCAAATGTTCAAAGATGCAAAAGTTAAGAGGACTATAGATGGCTTCTTAGGTACCGTTGGTCCCAAACCTGTCGGTGCAGGTACCCAATTTAGGGGAATTTATAGTTTTACAATACGCAGTAGGTACTAAAATCGAATTTTCCTCCACGTTGACTTTCAAGATAACTAATCTCGTGTTGAAGGTTAGCAGTAATATAACCAAATTACACCCGAGTCCAGCACGTGTTTAATGAAAATAATTGCACAATAATGCCAACAATCGAAAAATAAGTGTGTCCAACTTGACAAAAATAGGAAGTGACCTTCATGTGAGCATTTTGCGCCTAACTTTAAACGAGTAACTTTCTCGCCACAATAAGGGTTGCATTACGCATACCAAAGGGGGACTGGAGCCACCCCAAACCGCCATTTTTCATCATGGTGTGTATCCGCAATTGTTTCGTTAGCCTCCTACGTTTATTTACCGTTTGAAATGTTCTCGTATGCGATCTTCTCGTATGTTATCGGGCAAATTTCCTACCCACAAATGTCTAGTCTCTCTGACCATTTTGCCCTAAACACCACATTGAGGAATTGTTGTTTTGTGGGCGCACACACACTATTTCACAAAAAAACAACACAGCCGTTTTAACTTCATGGTTGGTCGCACTGCTAAAACAAAACACTGCCCGTCGTCGCCGTACACACACAATCACATCTTGCACCACTGAATTTTTTTTTTCAATCTTTTATGGGAAAAAATTCACTAAAACACTGTGCGAGCGACTTCACCTCATATTTTCGCTCTACACAACATACTGGGGCTCCGCGAGCTCGAATGCTGCTCGCTCCGCCTCTAAAGCGAAACTAGTACCAACCTACGCCACGAAAACACCCCAACTTGCACGAGTCCGACAGAGACGACGTGCGACGTACGTCGCCACACATTCGGACGATTTCGTGTAAAACACTACTGCTTTCCTTTATATTTCGTCTCTGTTTACTGGACTTTTCGGTCGCCTGTGACGATATACTATCCGAATTGTAAAACTCGACGCCTTTTTACACACAATTTACAACAAATTCCACCACAAACAACCCCAATCTAGCCACCGTAATTGTCATCTGTCACAATTCCTCCAAAAACAATTGAATACAAATTCCCGTCATTTTAACTCAGTTAAAACGCAAAAAATGTGTGAGATAACGATTTTGTCATTTGTCGAAACGGGAAAAATAGCCCAACAATGTAAATATCCAAAAATATCACGTCGGCTTGGCATCGTCGTGTACCTTTTTAGAACGCGTAGTAGGCTGTTTTAATTGAAGCTTGGCCGAGTCGACTTTCCAAAGGGTGGGTCGCTACACAACGGTACACACCGAATTCTTTTTATGTTTCCATGGAATTGTTTTGTTTCAATTGTTTACTATTAAAAGTACAGAAGGCTGGGATTACAGCCGTCGTGATTAAGGCAGGAAATTTGATACAAAATGGTTTTAATAAATTTAATCCTATAACAAAATGGCTGCTGTAACTTGGCGTTGAGTTGTCTCGTTCAACTGGTTTGCTCTTCCGGATTTCGAAATTAATCGATAACAGAAAAGGGATTTTGCGCCATCTTGTGGCATTCCATGCTACAGGTTCCTGTATTAAATTTTTGGAAAAACAATATTTTTTTATTATTGACAATAAAAATACATAAAAACGTTTTGCCACATTTTTACAAGAGTTTTATTGCAAATTTTAAATAATTAAAAAACACATTTTTTGTTACAGTTTTACAGAATTCTGTAATGGCAAAAAATTGTTTGAATTAACAAACAAATTAACCAAAACAGAAATTTTTAATTGCACTGTTAGTTTTCTAATTTAGTTTGTCATAAAATTGGAAAATAAGCAAACCAATTTAAACGTCGCGCCAAAAAAAAACCGCTTCCTGGCGCATGCGCTTTACTCCACCATTTCACAAGTTGAACCGCATGAAATGTGATTTCCTCCGCTGCGATTTAAGCCGTTTCGCCGTTCTTATTGTTGAATTTCGTTAGTTTTAACTTGTTAGAAACGTTCTAGTACCGGTTAGGACCCCAAAAAACCATCGAAAATGTTCTGGGGTAAGTAGAAACATCACTGGATAATGGTCTCCCATTTGCCGGGTTTTTTTACCACGTGTTTTACAAAAAGCTTTGATATTTTCGCAGGTTTGATAATGGAACCGGGGCGGTGTTACACCCAAACGGTAAAAGTAGCATTCCACGTCTCAATGGCTGCATTGGACATTTCAAATTCGGGGGATGAACCAGCACAAATAATGTGCGTTTTTGAGGGGCGCAATTACCTCCTATGTACGTTGAGTAAGGAGGACAAGTGGCAGTGTGCCTTGGATTTAAATTTTGAGGTTTTGAGGAGAATTGTTTTGAGGCGGCGTCTGATCATTTGATTTTTTGTAGATTGGTTCTAAGGTTTCTTTTGCTACAAATGGTAAATCTCACGTGCATTTGACTGGGTATTTGACCGGTCTTGATGATGAGCTTGAGGAGGAAGAAGTCGAAGAAGAGGAAGTCCCAAAACTTTTGAAAAAACGCACTAAAATGCAACACATTGAAGAACGTTAGTTGAAACACTTGTCAATCAAAATTTTTCTTAAATTTATTGTTTCAGCACCTAGTAAAAAATCAAAAGCTCTTGAAAACTCAATTGAGGAGGAGGAAGAGGACGAATCTGATTCAGATTTCGACCTTGGGAAAGTAATGCAACAGTCTGAAGATGAGGAAGACTCGGATGAAGAAGTTGAGGAGGAAGAGGAGTTGAGTGCGTGGGAAGAAGAAGCCTCGAGTTTGAGTGACAAAGAAAGCGAGGAAGAAAAAGAAGTGAAACCCAAACAGAACGGTATTGCAAAACCCACCCCCAAGAAGAAGAAAAACGAAGAGAAGCCAAAACAAGAGGAGAAAAAAGAGAAACAGAAGCCCAAACCTAAACAGTCCAATTTGAAAGGGGGCGTTGTAATACAGGACATCAAAGAAGGCTCCGGTGATGTGGTCAAAGACGGGAAATTTGTCCACGTGTACTACGAGGGACGTCTCAAGGAAAATAACAAGATGTTTGATTCCACCACCAAAGGGCCCGGATTTAGTTTCAGGGTTGGGAAAGGAGAGGTTATCAAAGGCTGGGATGTTGGTTTAATTGGTATGAAAGTTGGGGGAAAACGACGCATTATTTGCCCACCTAAAATGGCTTATGGACCCAAAGGCTCGCCCCCTGTTATCCCCCCAAACGCAAACTTGATTTTTGATGTTGAAGTCAAGAAAGTCAGTTAAATGTTTTGATTTTGTGTAATCTCATCTCTAATTTGCTTTTTTAATTATCACTTTCAGTTAAAAATAAACGGTATTTTTTTCTTAGTGTTTTTTTATTTATAATAGGTTATAAATATGTCACTTGTCAAACGTCAAGGTTATAAACCGGCAGACATTTTCCAAAAGTAGGAAAATAACACTCAAGTCGTTACATAAGCCCTAAATTGGGGTCAAAATCAACAATGTTTGCCCTTCGTCGTTTCGTTACCGCACCCTTAACGTAAGTCATTCAAATTTTGGTAAAATTTCACTTCATAACCTCACTTTTGTTCAGGGGCTCCCGAGCTGCTCACAGCCTCCCGGAGCTCCCCTACGGCTACGAGGCCCTTGAACCGGTCATCTCCCGCGACATTATGTCCCTCCACCACACTAAACACCACCAAACCTATATAACAAACCTAAACGCCGCTGAAGAAAAACTCAAAACTGCTTTAAGCAAAGGAGACATCAGTACAGCCATATCTCTGGAACCGGCGCTCCGATTCAACGGCGGGGGCCACTTGAACCACTCCATCTTCTGGAAAAATCTATCCCCCGAGTCGACCCAACCTAGCGACGCACTCAAGAAAGCTATCGAGGCGTCTTTCGGGGGCGTCCAACAACTCAAAGACCAATTATCGACTTCGTCGATTGGGGTGCAGGGCTCAGGTTGGGGCTGGTTGGGCTATTGCAGCAAATCCGGCAAACTGAAAATTGCGACGTGCGCCAACCAGGATCCCCTGCAAGCCACGACAGGTCTGGTCCCCCTTTTGGGGATCGACGTGTGGGAACATGCCTATTATTTGCAATACAAGAACGTGAGGGCTGATTATGTTAAGGCCATTTTTGAGATTGTGAACTGGAAGGATGTCTCTGAGAGGTTCGAGAAGGCGAAGGGGTGCTAGAATCTCAAAGTTTCACACATTTGGGGAAATTAATTTTTATAGAACACACTGTATATGTATATTAATTTGAGCGTTTCTAATAAATGATTAAGAGGTTTTCTTTACGTAATTAGGCACTAGGGGAATTACCAATTTTAAAACTAATATTTTCGTATTAGCTGTGGTATTACGAGTTCAAAAGTGCAACAAAAACAAGCGGTTTTTATTTGAAATTTCAAAATTCGTGCCAATTTTTGGAGTTACATAAATGCAGCCATTTTGTTTGCGTAGGAAATTTCAAAAAGCTGTAATTACTTTGGAAATGGAAAAGTTTCTAATGTAGGCTGAATTGAATCACCCTGTAAGAGTAATTTTAATAGCGATCTTGAAATGGTTTTCATTATTGTCAGGTTGGTAGAAGCTACTTTTTTGGTAATAAAAAAATTACTAATATCAACTTGACAAGGGTTCAAAAATAAATATTTTTTATGAACTACCGTTTGGTGAAAGATCAGGTGAAAGGTCACAAGGTGTAAAATCGATTTGAACACACCTTTTTGTGATTTTATCTCTTCCGTAATATTTTTTTTTGTACCAACTGCAAAACTTTACAAACTTAAATTTACCAGGTGGGTTTGAGTTCTTTACCCGTTCAGTTTTAGGTGGAAATTAAAAAAGTTTGGTGTTTTTGTGTGCAATTAATTATAGAAATGCTTTTAATATTTCCAAGTATGTAATTTAATGTAATTAAATAGTTCGATGCTTACTTCTGAGTAAAATAAAAATGCTGTACTACTTCAGTAATACTTGTATAAGATTTTGTTGCTAATTTTATGTGTGAATTAATGTTTAAATTTGTAGAAATTACATAAAAAAATAACGATAATTTAAATTTAAATGTGAGAATTTTAGGCAACCATTTATACATCATTATTATTGCTAGTAAACAACTCGAAATAAACCTTGCTTTTGCATTTAAATACTTTATTCGTAACGATTGAACACCAATAAATAAACTTACAAATATAACAGTCATTTTCTAACAAAAGAAAGCGCGTAAAATGCTCTGATTACGTCAGGATTGCACCAGTCCCTTTTTTAGAATATACTCAATAACAATAAAACATTTTGCTAATTAATAATACTCAACTAATCTCTCTCAAAGGCAACCTTGAAAAAATAGCTATCACGTTCCATCGGACCATTTTTTTTTAATTCTAGAGTGCGTAACATAGAGAAAACGTGCGTAATAATTAGGCACAGTCGAAATTAGGACAGCCTAGCCTTATCTATACTAGAAATTTCGTTAGGTGTGAAGCCTAAAATACTCTGAATGGCTTTCAAATGACCCTGACTGTTCTCCTTGTCGGTGAGAAAATAATAAACGGCGGATTTGAGGAATTGGAGGGTGATTTCCGGATCAATTTTGCTCTTGTTTTTGGCTTCGATCAATTGTCGGTACATTGCCTGAAAATAAATCAAAAAATGAGCGAAATCGCAATTAATTTGAGGGAAGAAAGTGCTAAACTACCATGCAGAGTGCTCGGGTATTGGTAGTTTACCTTTCTGGCACCAAGTACCCACAACGAGAGCGCCTCTTTAGCGCTAAGTAAAGGCTGTAAGTTGTTAGAAGTTGAGGCGTACTCTAAGTCCTAAAATCACCCGATTGACTCATTAATAATTTTTCTGGTTAGTAGAAAAAACTATGAGTGTGACTGGGACTCACCTTGATGTTTTCGAGCTCGTTTTTCGTCACTTGTAACTCTTCTAGAAGCTCGGGGACTGAAATGCGACTTGGTCCTTGTTTGGCAATTTCTATGACCTACAAAACCGTTTTTTTTATTTTATTACTTAATATTTCAAATCCAAGGGGGATTACCCTATTTTCGCGCTCTAGATTCGCCGCTTCTTGCCCTTTTTGGTACATTTCAAGGTAAGTCTTCTTTTGTTTCTCCTCTTGTTGGGCCAGTTTTTGGCACGCGTCTTCCAATTGTGATTCTAATTCTTTTATTTTTGATTTGGCTAAATCTAATTCGGGGACTAGTTCCCAATAGCGTTTGTTGATTTCTGTGATTCTTTCTAAAAGTTCTTCGATTTTGTCGTTGTGTTTTTGTTTCAATTGGTGGGTTTCTTCTTCGTGTGTTTTGACCAATTCTTGAAGTCGGCGTTCGTATTCGAGAATCAGGTTGGTGTGTTCGTTATTGTCGCCGAGGGCCGCCGTTATGGCCTTGTCGGCCAAGTCCATCTTGCGTTTCATCGGCTGAAAAAAATTAATTTGTACTCTTCGAGAAAGTGTTGATCAATAATTGATTTTTTTAATTTTATTAGTTAAAAATAGTCCAATTTGTTCTTTAAAAGATTTTATTAAAAATTACAGTTTACTTTTTCAACTAGAAACACAATTATTTCGCAAAAAGCAAAGAATTAGGCTGAAAATGATATCATTGTTGGTTGCCTACCTCAACGTTTTACCATTGAAGTTTTAATGATGAAGTTAAAAATTTAGTAATTCGTTGGGTCCAATAGGCAAATTATCATGTTTTTGTTATATTTTACTATAAAAACGGCTATTCATTTATGTAAATTTTAAAGTTAAAAAAATGGTGTATAATTAATTGCCTATCCCAACGTTACAAAATTTAAATGAAAAAAATTAAAATTCAGTCACAATAATAATCGGAAACTTTTCTCTAGCTGCTTTATTACAATTAAATTTCAAAATTTCGTTCAAAACAAGCCAAGAATCTAAAAAATAGACCAAATAGCTGTTATTTTTGCTTTTTTCCAATGTTTAAGCACGTTTTTGAGATAAAAACGAAAAATTCGAAAAATTTCATTTAAATAGCCTAAAAAATTACAAAACTAAATGAAAATCGAGGCAAAATGTTATGTAAACATGCCTAAAATTTAGTAAAACATATTGAAATTGATGTTATCTCGTTCATTTCGCTCGATTTAACTGGTTTTTGAGTAAGATTATGTAAAAAATAAACATAGAAAACATATAATTTGGTCGAAAATGCTTTGAAGCGCGTTTTTATACAAAAAGTCAGGTTCAAAACAAATCAAAAAATTAATAAATAAAGTCGAACATAACGTTATTTTTGCATCTTTCCGGCGTTTCAACCCGTTTTTTTAGCTATAAACGCAATTATTTCCAATATTGTGTTAAAAACAGCAGAATTAGACCGAAAATGATGTAATTTTTGCCTTTTTAAGCAGATTTTTAAGCTGAAAACTCCATTTTTTCGCCATATCTTGTCAAAAATTACTAAAGTATTATAAAAAAATTAATTAAAAACAATTTTTAAAATATCCCAAATATCTCAGTATTTCTGAAAATTCACTCTAAAACAGGCTTTAATGTCAAATTTGACAATTCAAAACGTCAAAATTAGTGCCATTAAATCGAAAGTGAGGTTACTATCTAAGGGCCGTTTCACACTTATTGTCAACAGAATGACCTTGTTGTCGCATTTTTTATGTTATAGAGCGATTTTTACGCAAAAAATTCAACTTACACTTCTTGTCGCAACCGGTGAATTGATGTAGTCGTCAAAATGCCCGGAATCGGTGTAAGAATTGGTCATTTCGTTCTGCACAACACTCCTATCAGCGGTATCAACATCCGGAGTAATCTGTTCGTCTGTATTTTCCCTAACAGTGACGGCATCACTGGAATTGGACCTATCTTCCGGTGAATTGAACGCCGCTTTGTACAACCTCAACTCGACAACTTCTTTGGTCAACTTCAGAATATCACTGTCTTTATCGTCAAGCTCCTTCTTGGCTTGATGCAACAAAATCTTCAATTTCTTCACCTGTCGATGGAGTCTTTGTGTGGGGGTTAAATAATCCTCGCCGGTGGCCCCCGAATGTTGACTACAATGAAAAACATACTTCATGCTCCTCCCGGAGAATGTGGTGCCATTCCTCGCCACACTTGCATGGTCACATGACCCCACACTGGTCACACTAGTGAGACTTTCGCTGTCCCAATCACAAGTGTGGCCATCGGGGGTTGTGGGGGGTGTATTGGGGGTGATTCGATGCAAACTCTGAAAACTAACACTGCAATCGCGATACCACTGATTGTCAACTCACCAAACTCCGGGATGGCGACTCCGGGATTCCGGGAGCGCCATGTTTGGCATACCGCTCACCCCTCTCCATAAAGGAAGTCCCACGTTGGAGGTTCGCACTGCGGTTCGGACTTTTCGCCCGGAGTCGGACGCTTCCGGAGCGACGCAGTGGGACGGGGGATGCGACCGGAATCCGGGATTCTCGAGGTTTCGACGACGACATCATGTAAATGTTTGCACTCATCTTGCAAAACTCGAGATTTTATCAATGATTGATTTTGATAAAATGCGATTTAGATTTCATTGAAATTGAATAGGTGGCTATGGAATTTCATATTTAAGTTTGTAGCCCTGCGCATGTCCCTAGTATAATAGCAGATGGGGTTTTTGTTTTTCTTTGATTACTTATTACAAAGGGTTGGAAAAAACTCTCTCTGAAAACCTCTCTCACAGAAGTAGGCCAAAAATTATTTAATTTTCGCCTTTTTAAGCAGATTTTTAAGCTGAAAACTCCATTTTTTCGCCATTCCTTTTCAAAAATTACTAAATTATTATAAAAAGAAATTGTCTTATTTTTTTACTCAACCCTTGAGCTTTAACCATTTAGTAATTCATTGCGTCCATGGGTGAGAATGATAGGTTAATAGGCAAATTGTCATGTTTTTGTTTTTTTTACTATAAAAATACCATTATGTAAATTTTCAAGTTGAAAAAATGGTGTATAATTGGTTGCCTATCCAAATGTTACAAAATTTATATGAAAAAATTAAAATTCAGAGTCACACCAATAATCGCAAAACTTTTCCCTCGCTGCTTTATTACAATTAAATTTCTAAATTTCGTTCAAAACAAACCAAGAATCTGAAAAACAGGCCAAATAGCTGTTATTTTTGCTTTTTTACAGTGTTTAAGCACATTTTTGAGATAAAAACGAAAAATTGGAAAAATTTCATTTAAGAAGTCTAAAAAATTACAAAACTATGTCAAAATTGAGGCAAAATGTTATTCAAACATGCCTAAAATATCCAAAAACATATTGAAATTGATGTTCTCTCGTTCATTTCGCTCGATTTAACTGGTTTTTGAGCAAGATTACGTAAAAAATTAACATAGGAAACATATAACTTGGTCGAAAATGCTTTGAAGCGCGTTTTTGTGCAGAAAGTCAGGTACTTCGTAGAGATTTCGTCAAAACAAATCAAAAGAATTAAAGAATAAAGACAAAAATAACGTTATTTTTGCATATTTCGTGCGTTTTAACACGTTGTTATAGCAAGAAACTTATTTCGCAATATTGTGTTAAAAATCACAGAAATAGGCCAAAAATTTTTGCCTTCAGATTTTTAAGCTGAAAGCCATACCTTGTCAAAAATTACTAAATTATTATCAAAAAATAAGATGTCTTATACAGGTGCGCCAAAACTCGCGCCCCAGAGAAAAATGCCATATAAGGTAGGATACCAGAAACATGGAAAAAATGTTAAAAAAATTTTATCTATAAAAATTTCAGAGTTATGAAGTTATAAAGTTTGCACTTTGACTCTATTTATTTCTGTTGGAAACATAATTTTCAAATTTTTTTTCCAATAGGATATTAAAAAAGGAAACAAGTAAGCTGTGTCCTAAATTGTAACTCTGTTTAGTCTTATTTGTGGCTTTTATTGGCAAAATTTTTGTCCTTTTACTAAATAATTGTAAAAAAACATATACAAGATCATCAGTATCATTAAATAGATATAAAAAAATGTCAAATCGAAAATTAAATGTCAAAATTTTTTGACAGATAGAATTTCTTAGACATTTTTTCCATGTTCCTGGTATCTTATCGTACTTAAAAATTTTCTCTGGGGCGCGAGTTCTGGCGCACCCTGTATGTTTACCCAACTCTTGGGCTTTAACCATTTAGTTTATGTAAAAAAACAACTATTAAAATATCTCAAAATCAAAAAATGGTCAAAAAATCGGGCATCAAATTCATTCGAAATTTTAAATTTTTAAAAATTCACTCTAAAGCGGGTTTTAATGTCAAATTAGAAAATTCAAAACGTCAAAATGACAGGAAACGTCAAAATTAAAAGTAAATTTATTTTTTATTAATATCACCAAAAGTAGTCTATAAAAGACTATAAATCAAGAGTGCTATTCTATAATTTTCAAACCACATCAAATCAGTAAGAATTAAATTAAATTTTAGGGTCAGGGTGAAAAGTTTGAGTGTTTCAGTATTCCAACTAAGTACTCTTCATCTTACAACAGTTTTTATTTAGGATAAAGTCTCTTTTGCCACTTTCTGAAAATTAACTGTGAAGCAGGCTTTAACGTCAAATTTGACATTACAAATATTCCAAAACGTCAAAATGCCATTAGTGCTATTAAATTGAAAGTAAGTTTATTTCACTATCTAAATGCGATTTATTGTAGATTTCATTGAGGGATGAAACAGGGTGTTAAACTTGTGGAAAAAAACTCTCTCTGAAAACCTCTGAAAGAGGGTTCTTTAAAAATATAATTTTAACTATCTTAACCTTACTTTTTTAGTGACATATTTAGTTCCTTAATACGTAAAGCCTCTTTCACATTTAAAGCGCGGTTTACACAATCATGGCCTACTGTTTTGCCAATTTCAATGAAATAGATTATGGTACTTACTGGTATTTTTGTGGTAACACCATTAAATGGAGTGGATTTTGCTCGGAAACATATTGTTAGAACGTCGACAGTTAATTATTATTTCAGCAGTGTATTACGGAGTATTGCCCCCACTTTTGTAGCGTAATAAAACATTAGGAAATGTCTTGAAGTCGGTGGTTTGGAACTGATCGCGTGGCGGTTTTACGTTAACTTGGTTGTATACAATTTTATCATTTTTATCACTCAATGAGTTTTGATAAGGTTTATGACGGGCGAAAGTGGGTGATTTGAGTTTTTAAAACTGATTTTTTACCAATTAAAGCAACAAATTTAACAGCTTTCGATTTTCTACCAAGTTGTAAACAATGAAATCACTATTTACTTTGAAAATTATGCTTTATCATTGGCAATAAACACATTTATTTGGTTACATATACATTATTTATATTTGGGTGCGGACACTCGTCTTCGCCTCGTGTTTCAAATATGAGCTAAGAAATCATAATTTGAAATAAACTCTTCTTTTTTCATTTGTGATTTAATTATGCGAAAATGAAAGTTACCTAATTCACATTCTCACAGGAATAGAAAGTTGTATTTATACAAGACGATAACATTTCAACCAAAAAAGTAGGTGAATTTTATAACAATTATGTAAACACCAGTCCAAATGTAAAATTTAATTTATGTAGGTTATTTTTGGCTAATTAGCGATTACTTGCAACTTTTTATCAACGTTTAAAATAATTAGTGTATTGTTGGTTGCATGACTTTAGAACAATCTTGGTTATTTTACAATTGTTTGCACTTAATTGCATATTACAGACTCTGTTTAAACGTTAGTTACATTGTTTTATTATCGTTTGCGTATTTTTGTAATTATTTTGAATCAAATGAGTTGTGGTGTATTACTGGTTGCATAACTTTGGTTATTTGTTTATTTTACCATATTTAATAATAAAACCATTTTGTTTACTACTATTAGTTTTATTGTTTTACTACATTTAGTGGAATTTATTAAAATATAAGAAAGGAATTTATTGCCAAATTTCCTCAGGCACAATCTAACACAATTGAATTTTTTTAAAGTGAATGACCACTCACATAAATTAAGCCACAATTTACAAAATCAACAGTGCAGACTATCACAATTTATATAAATGCACTTTTAACTACGCTAAATTATCGCCTAAATTAACGTTTCTTCAAATTGTGTTTTTTCTCACTCCATACAATTCCATTCAATTTTTCCCCTACTACATACAGAGATGTCGACAAGCCTAACAAACCTATGAAGAAAACGATCCGCAATGGAAGATTCAAGACTTCCAAAATGGGGTAAACCCACATTCCCGAGTAGGCATGAATGATGTGAATCCAAACCAGGTATACCAACATGAAACTGGTCAAAATTGTAAGACCCACTTTCCTCGTTGGGTATTTTCTGTACGATGTGAAAAGTTCGATTAAAATGAAAATCATTATGTTGGTATGCATGACATGGTTGAGCCACGCGGGGAAAAACTTGTCCAAAGCTTGTGGGAAGATCAATTCACGATCAACAAAGTAAATCCCCCAGAAAGTCAGGCCGACAAACATTGACAAAGGGAAAGCCAAACATGGCAAAATCTGCAAAAATGTGTTATTAAATTGTGATGATACAAGTGCTACCAACCAAATCTTTAATTTTCCGAATCAGTGGTGTCTTCTTAGGGGCCTCTTCGTTGCTCCCCACTAGATCATTGATGACACAAATGGTGAAAAAGAGGGCTTGGAGGAGCTGAAAATGGGGGATTTTACACAGTTTTGGTTTAACCTTGACTAACCGCATCCCAGTAGGTTAAAAACTTCAATTTTCCGCTTTTACCGAATGAGGCCCCCATTCGGTGGACCTCTGACGGTATTTGGACATAATTCCAGTCGTAATAACACCCGAACCAGAAATGCAACGCTGCGAGACCATGACACAAAGTTTTCACACCCATTTTACCATTACCTCGCTTCAAATAACATGCCAATCGCTCGAAAAAGACTTAAAAACTTTCATCGGGGGGCAAAGGTTAGCGATTGAGGACAGGACGCGATCGGACATTTAACCCAAACTTAATTTAATTTGTATGACTCGAGACAAGTTCCTGCGCCCCATTACGATCAAATTGATGTTAAATGTTATTATTGTAAAGGTTTATGTTTATTCGGAGTGATTTTAATTAATTATAGGACGCGATCTGTCACTTTGGCCCAACCATGAGCGGTTTGAAATTTTTGGCGGGAGAGCTTACCATGTTCCAAATTGTGAGGAATTTGAGGCGCCCTTTGAGGAATTTCATGTCGCTTTTGTGTTGCAAGTGAGGGATGTCGATGTAGGTTAAGTCGTACCAAAAGGCGAGTGTGTATACCACGAGGGTGAGGCAATGGAAGGGAAAAACGAGAGACATGACGAAGCACTTTGGGGTTAAATTAGGATAGATAAAAATTATCGCATAGAAACACACACAAGCACTTGTTACACTGAATTAGACATTGTTAAAGTTTATTTCCGTACGTTTTGGTCTTCTGATTGGGAATTATGTAATTGGCCGGTTTGAGAGGGGACTAGCACGAGAAATAATTATTTACACGATTATATCAGTGTAATAAAAACGAAATTAGAAACATAAATCTAAAAGTCTTATTACTGTTATCAGCCCACTTGTAGATATGAAAAGTGGATATTTTTTTCGATTTTTAAAAAAATTGAGTGGCGTAATTACCATAACTACGAATTATCAGTATGCAATTAGTCACAGTATGCGTAAAAAATATAATTTTGGTGACAAAGTTGGGGATATTTATTTTTAACCAACATTGACTTATTTCTCTTTTTGAACAAACTTCACTACTTTCAAATTTTGAAATCTGAATAGTTTTAGTCACTAGAGAGTTGAGATTTATTTTGTTTGAGTCGAATTTATGAGATGTTTCAAAAAGTTTTTTTTTATACGAGGGCTATTCAAAAATTGTGTTTTTTTGCTTGTAGAAATTGGCCAATTGTACGAATTTATTTTTTTTTTCGATAACTATGCATATCAGGAAAATTACAACAGTTTTTATCTCGAGTAAAATTTCTCAAAACAAAAACTTTAAAACTTCTCTTATACTGAACCAAAAAATTGGACATCAAATTTTTCACATTTTCTGAAAATTTAGTGTAAAGCGAGCTTTACTGTCAAATTTGACATTTCAAAAACTTCAAAATGTCAAATTGAAAAATAAATTGAAATTGATGTTATTTCGTTCATTTCGCTTGATTTAACTGATTTTTGAGCAAAATTAAGTGAAAAATAAGCCGAGGAAACATAATTTGCTCGAAAATGCGTTTTTGTACTAAAAGAAACGCGATTATTTCGCAATATTGTGTTAAAAATCACTGAACTAGACCGAAAATGACTTGATTTTTGCCTTTTTATGCAGATTTTTAAGCTAAAAACTCTGTTTTTTCGACAAACCTTGTTAAAAATTACTAAATTATTATTAAAAAAAGATTATCTTGTATTTTAACTCAACTTTTTCGCTTTAACCATTTAGTTTATTTAAAAAAAACGTAAACTTTCGTCAATATTTGAAAATCACCTTGTAATCTGGTAAAAATAAGTGAAAATTTGGCAGCTTTTTAGTGTCCAAATACAAATATTATGAAACATCTATTGAAATATTCCAAAATGGTCAAAAACTCGGACATCAAATTTTCTAAATTTGAATTTCTGAAAATTCACTCTAAAACAGACTTTAATGTGAAATGTGACATTTCAAAACGTCAAATTTAAAAGTCATTTTTTTAAATTAATATCACCAAAAAATAATAATATGAAAGATTATATATCAAGAATTCAATAATTATCAAACTAGATCAAATCAGTAAGAATCAAATTAAATGAAATTTGAGCGTCAATTTTGAGTTCAACCTTGAGAAGCTTGAGTTTTTCTGTATTCTAACTAAGTACTCTTCATTATTTAGASTAAAATCTCTCTTTTGCCACTTTCTAAAAATTAACTGTGAAGCAGGCTTTAACGTCAAATTTGACATTTCAAATTTTCCAAAACGTCAAGATGACATTAGTGCCATTAAATTTAAAGTAAGGTTATTTTACTATCTAAAGGCCGTTTCACCCTTATTGTCAACGGAATGACCTTGTTGTCGATTTTTTATGTTACAAAGCGGCAAAAATCAACAAGATTTGACATTTTTATGCAAAAAAGTCAACTTACACTCCTTGTCGCAACCAAAACTAGCCAACAAAGAACGACAAAAACGCTGTTATTTTTGTTTTTTTCGACTATTTAAGCACATTTTTGGGACAAAACAAAAAAAACAGGCCGAAAAATTACAAAATTAAATCAAAATTGAGGCAAAATCTTATCCAAACATGTTTAAAATTCACAAAAATAAATTGAAATTGATGTTATTTCGTTCATTTCACTCAAATTACTGTTTTTTGAGCAAAATTATTCAAAATGAGTCGAGGAAACATTTAATTAGGTCGAAAATGCWTTGAAGCGCGTTTTTGTACTAACAGTCAGGTTTTTCGGCGAGTTTTCGCCAAAACAAATCAAAAAATTAACGAATAAATTCGAAAATAACGTTATTTTTGCATATTTCGGGCGTTTCAACATGTGTTTTTAGCTATAATTGCAATTACTTCTAATATTGTGTTAAAAATTACAGGATTGGGCCAAAAATGATTTAATTTTTGCCTTTTTAAGCAAATTTTTAAGCTTTTTTTCACCATAATTGGTCAAAAATTACTAAATTATTACTAAAAAAAAGATTGTTATATTTTTACTGAACTCTTGGGATTTAACCATTCAGTTTATGTAAAAAATAACAATTAAAATATCCCAAAATCAAAAAATCGGACATCAAATTCTCGAAATTCTGAATTTCTAAACGTCAAAATGACGGGACATTAGTGCCATTAAATTGAAAGTGAGGTTACTATCTAAGGGCCGTTTCACACAATATTGACCTAGCTGTCCCATTTTTGCCCGCCAAAATAAAATAAAAAAATTAATAAAAAATCGTTAGACAAGTGACAAGTTTCAAAAATTCGCCCAATAGTCAGACATATTTTTTTTATCTTATTTACCATTATCTACCAGAAAATCTATACTTTTATCTTTTTTATCATAAAATCAATTCGCGTAAAGCAATCAAATTTTAATTGAAAAAAAAAATACAATTTAAAATCACAAGCAATAAAATCGCAATTGTTTGCATTCAAAACTCGAATCAACACGTAATAAATGAACCCACTCCTTGGCTTCGACGTCACACCATTTAACCAGCGTTGGTTCACCATTTACCATGATGACCCTGTCTCGCGTGAGTCACCAGTGAAATTTTATTCCACTCGAAATTTACAGTGTTTGTGTTGTAAATCACAAGTTTCGCATAAAATGTGAGTGCTTGCAACACAGGTGAGTGAAAATCACCCAAATCGTGTTGTTTTTTCAGTGAATTTTTGCAGTTTAATGGCGGAGTACCTCCAGTACGACTGGCGGCTGGAAAAAATCGTCCCGGAGCCGCCGCCCCGGAGCGAGCCCCAAGACAAAACCCTTTCAGTTCAAGCTTTGAGAACAATGATTCAGCAATCGACCGATTTGGAACTGAAAAACAACGTTTCACACGACGACAAAACCCTCCTGAAATTCCTCTTCGCCCGGAAATTCAACATCCCGGATTCTTATCTTCTGGTACAAAACTATTACTACTACCGGAAGAAAAACCACGTGATTTTTGAAAACTTTACCTCAACAGCCCCCGATATTAAAAACGCGCTTGAGAGCAGTCTTCCGGGGGTTTTACCCTCGAAAGACCGCAAAGGACGCTGTGTCCTAATCCTGAATGCAACAAATTGGGATTGTGATTACTCCTTAATTAGCATTTATCGCGCGATTTTGCTAAGTTTGGACCACTTAGTGAACGAAGTTCACAATCAGGCCCGAGGCTTCGTTGTAATCGTCGATTGGACCGAATTTTCCTTCCGACAAAGTACAAATTTGAAGCCTTCGATACTTAAATTAATGATTGAAGGTTTGCAAGACTGTTTTCCCGCGAAATTCAAAGGGATTCATTTTATTGGTCAGCCGTGGTATGTCGAAGCCGCCTTGACTTTCATCAAACCGTTTCTCAAGGAGAAAATCAAGGAACGGATTTTTGTACATGGGAATAATTTGAGTACTTTACATGATTATGTCCACAAGGATATTTTACCGGCCGAGTTGGGCGGGGAACAACCGAGCTATAATCCCGAAATTTGGATTAAAACGCTGAGGGGAGAGTGAAATTGGCAACGTCGCTAAAGTGGGGGGTTTGCGCATGACAATAGTTTGAATAGTGCTGTGATTTACGGAAATGGCGCCAAATATTGTGACTGGCATCATTGCCAACCGTTTTAAACAAATTCGAATTTATTTCTAGGTGTTTTAGGGGATTTTAGGAAAATCAAAGCTAATTATAGTGTCATGGAAAAACGTCTTAAAATTTTCCCAAAGAATAGCGATTTTGACACTAAATATACCATTAAAGCAAAAAAATATCGTATTTATAATATTTATTTATTATTATAACAATTAGTAACGAAAAAAAAATTTTTTTCTCTAAATTGAATCTCACAAACTTTGTTGGGTTAGTTACTTGTCAAAAAATGACGTAATTGTCATTTATTTAAAGAAAACTGGAAGAGTCCACGAGTTTTTAGGGGAGTTTATGGCTGTAACTTGAGACACCTCAATAAAAAAACAGCATCATAAAAATTAATCTAGTGTTTTTATAAGTCTTTGTTACAAAAGCGAAATAAATTATCATCTGATTTAATAACGAAGTTGATATAACCCCAATTTTTTATTTCTTGTGAAAAAAGTCAATAAAATTGTGTCTAAAGTTACAATGCAAAAACCATTTATGAGATGTTGTCACATGGTTTAGCCAAGTTGTGTATTACTGGTTGCCTATAAAAACATATTTTAACAATATTAATTTTGTTATTACTGATTTTGTAAAATTTATTAATTATTTAAAAATTGTCATAACAAATATTAAAAAGTTAAAATAACACAAACCGTTGTGCAAAAAATTGTTCATGGGAGGTAGTCACTTGATCGAGCTAAATGTTGTATTATTGGTTGTCTAAAATTAAACATTTCTATTCTGTTAAATTAAAAAAAAGTTTCTTGGTATAGGAGTGTTTTATATTAAAAACGAATTTATTCATAAATTTTTTGTACAATCAAGGTCTAAATTCGTGTGTCAAATTACTTTAATAAAAAAGTAATTAGAATTGACGTGCTTTGAGCAAAAAAAATTACAGCTTTTCTTGGAGACAAATCGAATTTAAATTAATTAATAATTAGATGGTATCTTTATGTTAGACTGTAATTTTGTATAATTATCTAAAATTATCTTGTAATGTAATTATAAAAAAAATAAAAATTGATTTATACTCTTTTAGGCTGTAACAGTCTAAATGCAACTTTAACTTAAAGGCCAATTCACACAAAAAGTGTCATTAATGTCACTCAAAACAAAAAGCTTTATGTTTGCTACTCCATATTAATTACGTTGTTAATTTTAATTATTTTTGGTGCTTGGGGTACACATTTGTTTGAAAAAATATTTTTTAGGGAAGATTGAGGTAAGTTAGATTCAACTGATTTTTGGACGAAATTAATTAAAAAGTAAGCCCAGGGAACATAATTTGGTCGAAAATGAGTTTTAGTACTAAAAGAACCGCGATTATTTCGCAATATTGTGTAAAAAATAACAGAACTAGACCGAAAATGACTTGATCTTTGCCTTTTTAAGCAGATTTCTAAGCTAAAAACTCTGTTTTTTGCCATACCTTGTTGAAAATTACTAAATTATTATTAAAAAAAGATTATCTTATATTTCAACTCAACTTTTTAGTTTATGTAAAAAAACGTAAACTTTCGTTTATATTGGAAAATCACCTTGTAATTTGGTAAAAACTGGTGTAAATTTGGCAACTTTTTAGTGTCCAAATACAAATCTTATGAAACATCTATTGCAATATCAAAAAATGGTCAAAAAATCGAAATTGTGAATTTTTGAAAATGCACTCTAAAGCGGGCTTTAATGTCAAATTTGGCATTTCAAAACGTCAAAATGACAGGAACATTAGTGACAATAAATTGAAAGTAAGGTTACTATGTAAGGGCCGTTTTATACTTTAAATCAAAAAAAATAATAATAATTTGATCAAAAATGGTAAAAAAAAATTGTTACCAGAAAATCTTTATCTTTTTTTATCATCCACACTTGATGTATTCGTAAATCAAGGTCATACCTTGTAAACTAAATTATTATTAAAAAAAGATTATCGTCTATTTTCACTCAACTTTTCAGTTTATGTAAATATTAGAAAATCACCTTATCCAAATACAAATACAAATCTTATGAAACACCTATTGAAATATCAACAAATGGTCAAAAAATCGGACATCAAATTTTCAAAATTCGAATTTTTGAAAATTCACTCTAAAACGGACTTTAATGTCAAATTTGACATTTCAAAACTATAAAAATTATAAGTCATTTTTTTATTAATATCACCAAAAATAGTCTAAAAAAAATTAAAAATATATCAAGAGTTCTATTCAATAATTTTCAAACTACATCAAATCACATTTGTTTGAAAAAATATTTTTTAGGGAAGATTAAGGTTAAGATTGTTCGAATTTTTGCAAGGTTGCTACCTTAAAAAATCCTTTTCAACGACTACTTCTAAGCACGAGTATACAAAACTTTGAAACTTTGTTTGGAGGTTCCAAAAAAATCAAACTCAATTTAGTAATAAAAATATTTTAATTAAATTAAAAGTCACACAGTTTTAAAACGAACAATAAAACCCAATGACTGCAACCTTTGACAAAAAAAAATCACTAAAGATTCTTTCCACTAATCCCCTCTCGTTGATCTAACGAAGCTAGAGAACTCTTCAAAATATCCGATTTAGTTGTAAAATCACTTTTCTCACTAGTTTGCACTGGAAGGTGGTGATGAGGGGCGGCATCCGGAACCAAACCTCTCAAAAACATCGATATACACGCCCATGGGAATAAACTGAAACAAAAAAATACCATTTTCTAGGTCATGGGCAAAAAAAAAATCAAATCTGCTAGACCTACTTTCTCTTTTTTTACATAGTACAACTCACAATTTGAAAATAATTCCGGTTTTGAAAACTCCGGGGATCATCACGACGATTTCCTCCTTCCGGAGTCCTTCAACAATCCTATCTGCCACATCGTTGGACTTCAAAGTGGGCAAAAAACGCGAGTTGACATTGTCGAACATCCCAGTCGACTGGATGAAATAGGGACAAACGACGGTGGTTTTGACCCCGTCCACCCCTTGGGCTTCCAACTCGACTCTGAGGGCTTCATCGAAGCCCACAGCGGCGTGTTTGGAGGCGCAATAATCCACCAATTTATTAATCCCGACAAAGCCGGCCATGGACGCAATTGTTACAATATGGCCGTGGTTTTTCTCAATCATGTGGGGCAAAAAGGCCTTGACGGTCTAGAAAATCAAGCAGTTATTGTCGTGTCAACAAGAAATTACTCCCTAAAATTTAGGGATATTCGTGTCATTAATTTGGTTAAGTTGGTTGACAAACAAAAGATATAGTAACTAGTGTCAAAAGTCACATGTCAACCGTCAAGGGGTAACCAAGCCTAGGCATTCAAAATTAATTCTGAAAATTCTAGTTACAAACGTAATTTTCCTAAAAGTAAGGTTGGGGGAAGTACATACCCAGAAATGGGCCAAAATGTTGACGTCAAATGTGCGTTTGATTAAGTGGTCCGGAGTGTTTAAAAGGAGATTTCCGGAAACAATTCCAGCGTTGTTTATTAAAATAGTAACCTGGAATTTTTTTAAGGTTAATTAAAGGTTAGGGATTTTTTTTTGACATACTTCGCCGACTTCTTGACGTGTCGTGTTTGCTATTTTGTACACGTCTTCTTTGTCCGCAAGGTCACATTTGAAGCCATAAGCGACGCCGCCTATGCCTTTTACTAATTCCACGGTTTCTTCAACAGCTGAAAAAAAATTTCTTGCCAATTGAGTAACCAAACCAAAAACTTGTTTTGATTTAGCTATTTTTCGTAGGCCAAAATATTACTGATTTTGTTAATTTTTTAACATTTTTTTCTTTACCCAAAAACGGAAAATTACTTTAGTTTGCTTAATATATAGGGTGATTAGAAAGTCACGGACTAACTATTTTAGAGTTATATCGTGAAAAAAAGACTCAAACAATTTTTGTCATGGGTCCTTTTCACTTTTTTGAATCACTCTGTAGAGTAATCAAAGACGAGTTGACTGAATGATATACAGGGCTGTCATTTCAAAAGGATCCAGTCTCAATAACTTTTGACATCGAGTAAATGGATTTTCAAGAAAAACAGGTCGATTAGGATCCTGAGGGGGAAGTTGAAAACCAACATTAGTTACATTTTAAGTTTCATCCCCTAGTCGGTAGCCACCCTTACTTTAAAATTTTAAATGGCACCCCCTACTTTTTAGAACGTTTTCGGAAAGAGAAAAAATCAGCGTCTCTAAATGTCGAAGAAAAAATTTTTTTGTCGATTTGTTTTTCAGTTAGGGGTGGTTTAATTTTTGAAATTTTTAGTCTTAGTAGCTTTTGACTGAAGTCAATTTAATTTAAATAAAAAATATGTCGATTTGGATTGCGATGGGAGAATTCAAAACCAACATTAAATACGTTTTGGTTTTCATCCCCTCATTAAAATTTTAAAGAGCCCCTCCAACTTTTTGAAACATTTTTGGAAGGGGTGGAAAAAAGCTTATCTAATCGTAAATGAAAAAAATATTTTGTCGATTCGTTTTTGAGTTAGGGGTAGTTTTATTTTAGAAATTTCCATCAGTCCTAATAGCCTTTAACTTTGATTTTGTGTCATCTAATACATTTTATTAAGTCAACAATTCAGCGAAAATTTACCATTTGACAGTTCAGGTAATTAAAAAAATACATTTATTTAAATTAAATTGAGTTGAATCAAAGGCTACTCGGACTAAAAATTTCAAAAATTAAACCACCCCTAACTGAAGAACAAATCAACAAAAAAAATTTTCTTCGACATTTAGAGATGCTGCTATTTAAAATTCTAAAGTAGGGGTGGCTAGCGACTAGGGGATGAAACTTAAAATGTAACTAATGTTGGTTTTCAACTTCCCCTTCGAGATCATAATCGACCTGTTTTTGCTTGAAAATACATGTATAATATTTACATTGCAAGATAGTAAGTAAATGTCGTATATTAATATTTGTAAATTTGGCGTCAAAGTTGGGGAAATTTTCAACTATACAAACAACAAAACAACAAAAACTTGTTTGTTTAAACTATTTATTTTTTTTTGAAAAAAACTAATTGATGTTTAATTAAGTATGTACTATAAAAATAATTACAACTATCTACATACCGGGTGAATAAAATGTATGGAACCAAGGGTTTTTATCGTAAACTAACCACTTTACGAAAAAAATAATTAGTGTAGCGTAAAGTACAATTAAAATGTGACCATTTATTAAGAATAACATTTTTGGAAATTTCTTTTAGTTTTCGAATTTTGGACGACCACTTCGGTTAAGTTCTTCCTGATGAGCTCGGAACGCAACTTAACAATTTATTTAAAAAAAGTACCTACTGGCTAAAACACAATTTTATTTAATTAGAGGTTATTTTTAGATCATAATCTTTAATAAAAAAATATCATGGTGGGTTGCTATTAAAAAAATAATTTTTCCAAAATTCAAAAACTAAAAGAAATTTCGAAAAATGTTATTCTTGGAAACGCTTGGTTCGATACTTATACTGTTTATTCGCCCTGAATAAATAGATAAAGTAACAAGTCAATATTTTTCGATTTCTTAATAAATATAAATATAACTGAGAAAAAAAAAAGAAAAAGAAGTAAAGTCGTTCTCAGTGAGCAAATTTCGTGCTTTTGTAAAAAATTTCTACTCCGCTGTACAAAAAATTATTAGTGTTAAATTTACCTTTATTATTTTTAGATAAAGTACTCTCTCTTTCACATTACTCATTACTTTTTCCTCTTATACCAGGTGAATGTTTTTTTTTAACTATTTATTTTTTGAAAAAACTAATTGATGAGTGATAAAGTACTATAAAAATGTGATGATTTAACAAGAATAAAATTTTACGAAATTTCCTTTTGTTTTTGAGTTCTATAAAAAAAATATTTTTTTAAATGGCAACCCACTCTAAAACTATTTTTCTCATGAAGGTTATGATCTAAGGATTACAACTATCAATTTTATATTTAATTTTTTCAATTTTTTTTTTTTAATAAGTTGCAATTTTGACAAAAATATCGCATAACTCAAAAACAAAACAAAATTTCGTTCTCAAAATACGATCACACATTTTATATTACTTTAATTTATATGAATTATTATTCTCTGAAAGCAAGTGATTAAAAAAA